ATCATTTCCTTTCCTGTACGAGTAAATAAGTTTTTTTGAAACATTATATTTAAGGAAAAGTGCAATAACTCAACAACGCCGTAACCGAATTTCAAAAACCAAACATGAAAACCAAACAAACCAGATATTGCCTGTCACATAAAATGTGGGACACCCGGTATATTCCGGGATCTGGACCTGTACATACATTACGCAGAGCACACGCAGATAACGTGTTCGACAGAATCCAATCGCACGCCAATCCAGACATAGGATGCCAATGAAGCAGAATCAGAGACCACCCCCGAGAGTCGCTATCAGGCGGCTCCGGCAAGTATAAACATTTTTTAACCGAATTTCAAATTCACTTATTTTTTAGATTCACTAGGAAGCACTTGTTCGCGACCTAAAGGCTGGTCAGATGGCCGCAGTAGGTCAGATTGTAACATCCGTTGTCGTAGATTGGAACGGGTTACTTTATTACTTAGGAACTAAATTATGGGCTGCCGGAACTCAGCGGAGAGGGATGGTGGGTAAATATAAGTCCACTTGGAGGATAAGTGTATTGTTTCTTTAAACACGCCAAGCTTGTGGTGATTACAGGCTTATGGCCCAGAAGTATACTTTTGGGTTCACAGATATAAATGTTAGCAACTTATGATTAAACTTAAGGTGTGGTAAATACTTGGTTCCTTCTAGAATTTGCAATTTGTGCCGCAATGTTGATTCGAGGTCGTGCGGGAGGGTGTAATACATAACAGGAAGACCTTACATGCATGGGATATGGGAGAATAGTCTCCAGCAGCACGATCCAACCCCTGTACGCAGTCCACTCAGGCAATGATCTTTTCCATGCAGATAACTTGCTTCTCAGAAGACCGTAATCAGAGATATAAGGGGTGTGGTGGTCTAGCCTTGCGAGAGATATACCAGGATATAGTTCACAATATCGACTTGAGGTGGTAATAAAAAGGCCTAAAATGAGATTAATGTTTAGAAGGATATACCCTTTAGGGTATTTTCGGGAAGTGGGTTCTTACCGTAGTTGTTGTGTGGCC